GGCTGCCGCCTCTGTGCAAGTGCCTTTCGCTTGGAGGTGCCCTTGGCTCAGGGCCGCAGGAGAGCGGGCAGTAAAAGCGCTTTCTTGGGCTGGCTGGCGTCGTGTTTAGGTGGTCTTGCTCGGTTTCCCCTTTCTCTTGCCCCGGAGGCCTCGGCCCCTAGCCAGGTGTAACAGCTGTGGGCTGCGTGGTGACAGGTGAGCCCCGGGGAGGCTCTCGCAACGTGGGTCAGTCTGCTAGTTGTACCTTGCTTGCTCGTGCCCTGCCGCAAACGCTCTTGTTGCAGACCCGACCCCGGTGGCTAACCAGGCGGCAGCAAACGGGTTGACGCTGGGCAGCCTGTCTCGTTCCTGAGCCGAAAGTCAATGTATCGGCGCACTGTTTAGCACCTTTAGGCCATTTGTGATGCCTTACGAGATGCAGTTCGTGATAATTTGTGCCAGCTTAAGTGCTTACAAAACTCTGCTGGAAGACTTGTTCCTTTCCTCAGCTACAGGTGAAGGGAACTCTAATCGGAGGAGAGGTGTGCTGGATTTAGTTGGGCTAACTACAGAGTGCTTTTAGGGAGGGGCTCTTTGCTGAGGAGCTTGCTTTGCCATAGCTGAAAATAGCCTAAGCGTTTCGTTTGGTACTGGTATGCACTTCCATTGTATGATAATTAACCATTATTTCAGTAAATGCGGGCTGAATGGTTCCTTTGCGGGCAGCAGAAAGAATTCCTATTCCTATAAATTGTATGCAGAAGCTGATTGGAGGGCTGAAAGGGAGCTGACAGACTTGCTCGGCCACATTCTGACACCTTTTTAAATGTAGGGAAATTGAAGTACCTTGTATGCAGAATAAAAAGCCACACAGCAGGTATGGTGGCCTGTCTCCCACAGTGGACCAGCACATTTAGCACTCCTCCTTTCAGGTTGTACACTCACAGAGGTGCACAGTTTAGTGTGCAGGACTCACTCATATGTGAACTTCGGTTGTTTGACTGCACATCTGATTCCTACGCTCAAAATCTGAAGGGAGTTCAATTTTGTTTTTCACTGTAGCTTCTTGAATGAGCTATCTGACTTCCACAACGGTAGAGTGCTATAGGATGAAAATAAACTAGAAAATGTCTCCCTCTATTAAAAACTACTCGTAGTTGGTGATAGGATGGTATGATAGCTCTGTCACATTATTTACAGATAAATTGGTCTGAGAGTATAACCAAAAAACAGAATTTGGCCTTAAAAGTACAAAAGAGTCTATGCCTAAGAACTGATAAATCAGGTTAAAGAAAGAAGCATGTGTTCGTTGTAGGACCTGGGTAACAACTCCAACACGTCTTGCCTGGGAAACAACTCTTTGCAAATAATCCAGATCAGGAAAAAAGATTGCAGTACACCTCTCATCTAGACTATTTGGCAGAACACTGCTGCTGCGTTATTTAAACAGCTAGACTGAAAGACTAGTCAGGAGAACCGTAGTTTCAGCTGCTGCAGGGTTTTACAGCTTCACGTGTGGGAGGGAGAGGAGGTAAGGATCAGCTCCTCAGTGTCAGTGTCTGTGTACACACATTGATCGCTCTGAGAAAGCTGATGGAGGGTGCTCATTGCCAGAATTAGTTAGAAAGTCCCAGCAGGTGCTTCTTAAAAGTACCGGTCTGCGCAAACAACACTGAAAGAAATTTCTAGCTGATGAGAATTTTCTTGGCCAGAATAAAACCTTCCTACAGTGCGGTTCGGAGTTTCATTTTCCGTTACATCTTTTAATGGGTTAAATAGCCTCATATCAGTGTGGATATGTTTGTTTTCTCTGAAGTGTGTACTTCAATGTAAAAAAAATTTTTTTGTATGGATTGTTATGAATCAAAGCAAGTTCTTCTTGTGCTACAGCTTTTGGAATTGGTCCCACTTCCTATTTTGTTTTATAACAAGCAAGCGTAAACACTTGACTTAAAGGTTCATTTGGTTCTTTACACAGCTGTGTGATCCAGTAGAAAGCACGTTTAATTTTAGAGGCATTTCGCTAGTTGTATCACTCAATGTGCTTGTGTTTCATTGTGTTCAGTCAATTCATAACTCGTATTAGAACATCAAAAAATGTAAAGGCATAGCTTAAGAAAAAGGTTTTAGCTTCCTCTGTTTTCTGTGTTCAGTGATTTGTCTTCCAGTATAATCTTGACAGAGACTTTGGTGTAGGCTGGTGACCTTCCATTTAACTTTTAAATTACATTTCTTCAAAGACAGCATCACAAATAAAAGGGGACTTTAACCTGCACTATCAGTTAGATTGCTATACAGACAGAAACTTTCGGTAACAGTGACTGTTACCTATTGTTACTGGCAGTTATTCTGTGTTTGTGTTCCCTTGCACATGAAGGACACCTGCATCCCACATGCAAAACATTCCATTAATTGGTTCACCCATGAGCCTGTATTTTGTCAAATGTTTATTTTAATCTTTCTCATCTCTACTCTTGCTTGTACCCAGATGTGTGAAAATAGTATCGAAAATGTGAGACGATCTTCTTAGCAACTTACAAGAGAACAAACGTTCAGGTAAAAAGTATGAGGCCAAGCTGAGAAACCCTTTCTTGCAGGTAAGCTACCTCAGTGGAACGAGACCATTAAATTACTTCCTTAGGGTTAATCATAGGGTTACTCGATGATGTGTTGTATTTTTGAAGTTGGGCTATTTGCCAAAAATGTAGGAGGTCTGCTGCTGGGAGGCAAAATCTGTCTGAAATCTTCACAGAACAAACCCCCAAAGTGTGCATCTTATTCCTGTTTTGCAAAGTTCTTGAGCATATGAAATAGTGTATGAAGACAGCGCTGGGAGAAAGATAAAGAGGAGGATGTTAGAAAAGAAGCAAAGAGGACCTCTTTGCAAGCAGGTTCCAAGGCAGTGGAGCTTCATGGTGTTTTCAGTGATCAAACGTTTTGATTTTTGTGAGGAACAGTTAATGCGTTACCTCTTCATAACTAAATTCAGCCAATCTACGAAGCCACTGTCAAGTAAGTGATTGTCGTAGTTCAGCAAGGCTGAGTAACTAGGTCTGCTTCAGAGTTGGCCTTAATAAACAACTTCTGATACATTTAGTGAGTCTCCCCAGGCGTTCCCCATAGATGGGGAATATTTTTATATATATATATATAAAATTACTAGTTTCTGGAAATATGCAGTGATAACTTTTGCTACCTATCGCTGAAAATAAACTAAAATTTAGTGTGTGTTAGGTTTCTATTACTCTTGTCTTCAGTGTCCCTCCTGCTTGACCACATCCCATATTCACTTTGGCTTGGTTACAGATGCCCGTTGGCAAGTCAATTAAAAGGCATTTTTAGTCATTACATATGACATGTTTAATACTTATTTGTTCAGCTTAAGTCTAAATCTATATTTTACTACACGTGTGCCAAAAACCTAAATTGGTCTTCCATTAAAAGTAGTGTTTTGAGCTTTTAATTTATTAACTTAAGACAACTAGGGATATATATTTAAAATAAGTGCAATTTAAAGAAGATTTATCAGTAAAAATACCCAAGCAAGACATAACCAGTAAAAGGAGGGAGAGGGCAGTTTAGTGCCTGAATACAGGTCAGGAATAGTGAAGTCCAACTCTAGGCTTCCTCGTGATTCATGGAGCCATACTTGGTTTTTTAGTTCTCTGTTTGCATACTGATGCAAGCTACTTAGCAGTCTCCTGTGTATTCATGAATAATAATCAACGTTTATAATTCAATGTAATTATTAGATGGAGAAGTAAAGCCATCCAAGTAAATGTTGAAATACAGGAAGGTTACAGTAACCTCGGAAGGGCAGCACTGTCCAGTTTCAGGAGTCTTGGATTAGCTTTCAGAAAAGGACACAGTTCTACTTTTATCAGTAAAAAGAGTGGAACATAAAGGCAGCTTTCAGATTAAGACTCGGACGTGCTGATGTCTGGGTCGCTGAGCAGCGCTGTGGGTTTGAGGGTGTTCTTAAAGGACGCTATCCTAATGGTCTTGGTATAAGATGAGGTGCAGTTGTTAAGTAAGCAGGTATACACAGGTATGAGGTGTTAGGTAAAGGAGGGATAAGTTATTGTGTTACTAATACAAGCGTATTTTTATATAGGCCAAATTATATCTGAGAAGAACCACATCCCTTGGGCAATTGAGGTAATAGGTAATACATGCCAGTAATAAATCGAGGAAGTAGGTGGTTGTCTAACAGGTGGCCAGATAGCACGCAGATTGCTGCTCTCAGCTGCCAAAGTCCGGCGCGGCTCGCGGTTGTTCCGGCGCCCAGGGCCCCGCACCGGCCGGCGGGGCTGCGTGAGCGCGGCGCGCCCGCGG